AGTGGGGAAGGTGGCTCCCCAGTGTGTGCCTTCCCCTGTGTGGGGGTGCACTGTGCACCGGGGCCTTCCCGATGGCCCTGCCTGGGCCGTGCCTGGCTCCGCGGAGGCTCAGGGCCTGGCTTGGCTCTTAACCCAGCGTGACGGCRCTGCCAGCGCCGAGAGCTGCAGAGGACTCGCAGCCATCGCCCCTGTCACTGGAAGCGGGAATAAACCTCTTCGCGCCAGCGGAGCGTTAGGGAGCAGGCATTGTCGTTACTGCGGCGCCGGATGCGCGGGGAATTGCTCCATCTATCGTGCATCCCATAGGTTGTGTTAGCCAAAACTTATATCACCGCTACATGTGTATACATTAGATTTCCTGGAATTATCATGAATATGAATTCTGCTTCCTGGAACTAATTATCATATTTGCATAGTCGATATGCATACAGTTTTCCAAGGGATTTCCATGCGAGTCTTCAGTGGTCTCTGGTGGTCCCTAGTGGTTGTTGAAGAGGTGCCTCTTAGCGTCCTCTCCAYGAACTCCGAGTCTTCTGTATATGATCTTGTCGTGGCTCATCACTCTGTTTGGAGAGCTCTCAAGTTTCTTATCTTTGTTTCAGCTGGTGTTTTGCTGTTTTGTCTGTACCCTTTCAGGACRTACCAGTCACAGCTGTGAAAATTATGTCCGTGGATACGTTCTTGTCTGAGGCCCCTTTTAACACTGCCATGTTTCACAGTATCCTGGGAGGGGAAAAGATAGGTAGAAGAGGCATGGTCTTGTAGATACCTGCTGCAATCAGGTGGAATTGAAAAATCATCTCTTTTTTTTGTTTGTTTGTTTGTTTGTTTTCCCAGGAACACCATTAAAGAAATCCGTCATACTGTTAATAATTTCAGCAAAATTGGGATTTTTTTTTTTTTCCTGGAAAAAAAACATGAGCTGATCTTAGGTGCACTTAGGAAAAGAACAGGGATCACTTCGAGTTTTGTAAGAACTGGGGCAGATTTATTGGTAAGGAAGAATAAGAGTTTGAAGGTTTTGAGTTCTTTCCATTATATTAATTGTATCTATTTCACATGGGACAAGTTAGTGAGCCTGCTGCTCAACAATACTAACAATAGTGTAAGAAAGTAATGTAGTATAGCATATGCTTATAAAAGCGTTCAAATAAGTSGTAAAATTATATCATAAGTAAATTCCAGAATTTAAGGAGCAAGGAACAGCATGACATATGTGCTGATTTTCTGTCTGTAGTGTATGTGATGGTATGTGTAGTAGAAATGCTGAAAATTTGCTACTGGCTATTGCAGACAGCAACAAGACTAACTTGGAAGAGGAGCTTGTCTGCTAAAGGATGGCCCATCATAAACCGAGTATGCCTTTTCAAAGCTCAGAACAGACACTGCAATCATATAACTGCAATCATATAAGGAAAATACAGCTTCCTTCTCGTAACAGCAGTGAGTTACTACCCTACTCTAATATGAACCCTTTAGCTGGAGTGAGGCAGGCTGCAGCCCTGAGGGTTACATCTGTGCACAGCAACCTGCCAAGCTCATACACAGAAACAGGCACCTCAGGAAACCTGATGTTGTGGTCCCTCACAACATAAGGTTACAAGCCTGCTTCAGTGCATGAATTATGAAATACTAGAATAAACCTTACTTTGGGTTGTGCAGTATAGATAAATAGAACTGCTTAAAAAAACAGCAGTCATTCTGCATGTACTCCCCCAAAACACAACACATAGATGAGTCCCACTGATTTCCCTGGCCTTATTGCTTTYCCTTGATGAGTTCCTTTTTTTTTTTTTTTTGCCTCAACTTATTATAAGTGTCCCATAGCCATCTGGCACAAATCTGACCAAATGGCACCGCACATTCTCCTGTACTTACAATCTCCTGGTCCTCCTGGTGCCCTCTGCAAAGTTGCTGTGGTGGATGCTCAATTGCATGGGTTGCAAGGCTGCCCATGCAATTGCAGAGTGTAATAGTTCCTTGAGGGGAACCTAACCCCTATTCAGGCTGATCTGAAGAGGCAGACTGTGCTCTAGGGTTTAGTGAGTCTCTTTAAGGGCTCTGGTTCATTCCTTCTCATTTCTTGTTTTAATTTACTATAAATAGGAGTTCTTGATGGCGTCTGTTGACACAGACCGTGCAGTCAGYGTCTGCCACGCACTATGTGACATACCACCTAAGGCCACCAGTTTCCAGCAGTGATTCAGGTATGGAGTTGGCCTTCAAAATGCTCAAGTGAGGACCACAGGACTGAGCCTGAGCTCCATTCCTGCTGGGTGCAAAATGATGTTGAGCTAGGACAGCTGGGAAGCTGAAGGCCCTGAATTGTCAAAAATCACTTACTAAGCAATGAAAAGGCAGGAATGGGCTAAAACCTGTCTCTCATTAATACAGTGCTGTCTCAAGCTGCAGCAGTATTTCCTGCTTTGATGCCAATAACAAAAGATACCCTCTCGTTGTGTTTGAAAGCAGCTGCAAAATGTCACTAAATCCTGTGTTGTTGTTAAACAGCAGGGCTTCAAGCTTCTGAGACGCATTATTTACCAACAAGACCTTTCTGAGTAAACTATAGTGAGTCTCTTACAAGAAACTGCAGAATTGTGTGCTATTGCCAGACATCTTTATAATGAACCATGGCTGCAGGGATTTGAACTTTCACACCAACACCCTCTGTTGGCACGTGAGCTAATGGAAGATTATGTGTTAGTTGTGAGATGTCCACCAACACACCTTGAGTTTACCCCATGGAGAGTAGAGCTGCTCAAGGGAGGTTGAGGGAGGGGATCCTGCCCCTGCTCTCAGCTCTGATAAGGACGAACCTGGAGTATTGGGGGCAGTTCTGGACTCCCCAGTACGAGAGAGCTTCTAGAGAGGGTTCAGCAGAGAGCAACAAAGATGATTAAGGGACTGGAGCATCTATCTTATGAGGAAAGACTAAACAAGCTGGGCCTGTTTAGCCTGGAGAAGAGAAGACTGAGAGGGGATCTGATCAAGATGTACAAATACCTGAAGGGAGAATGTAGGGAGGAAGGGGCCAAACTCTTTTTGTTGGTGGCCAGTGAGAGGACAAGGGGCAATGGGTAGAAGTTGAAACACAGTCAGTTCCATCTCTATATGAAGAAAAACTTCTTTCCTGTGAGGGTGCCAGAGCCCTGGCACAGGGGGCTGTCCAGGGTGGCTGTGGACTCTCCTTCTCCGGAGATCTTCCAAACCCGCCTGGATGTCGCCCTGTGCCCCGTGCTCTGGGTGTCCTTGCTGGAGCAGGGGCGTTGGATTASGTGATCTCTAGGAGTCCCTTCCAACCTCTGCCATTTTGTGATTCTGTGATTCTGCTTGAATCTTTTGACCTTTTCAGTAGAAGCATCTTCTTCAACAGCATCCTATTGTGCTCACATCCTCTTTGGGATGTTCAAAAGTTTGTATGTTTTGCCTGTTTGGTTCAGGAAARACGTCATTTCACAGCCAAATTCAGGCTGTGGGGTAACACTGTGAATTGCAAAGCTGCCGCACCACCCTGCATACTGCTCATGGATGTAGTTACTGGCACTACTGCATCAAGCATTTTCCATGCAACTGCTGTTAGAACTGTTTGACTATGGTCATAGAATCTTAGAATCAAGAATGCTTAAGGTTGGAAGGCACCTCGGAGGTCATCTAGTCCAACCCCCCTGATCACGCAGGGTCAACTGATGGCACAGGGCTGCATCCAAGCGGGTTTTAAAGATCTCCAAAGAAGGAGAATCCACAACCTCTCTGGGCAGCCTGTTTCAGGGCTGTCACTCTCACTGTCAAGAAGTGTTTCCTTAAGTTCCTGTGGAACTTTTGGTGCCTCAGCTTGTGGCCTCTAGTCCTATCGCTGGCCACCACTGAAAAGAGGCCGCCCCCTCCTCCTCACTGCCTCCCTTGAGGTATTTACAGACACTGATCAGGTCCCACCTCAGCCTTCTCTCCTCCAGGCTGAACAGGCYCAGCTCCCTCAGCCTTTGCTCACAGGGCAGATGTTCCAGGCCCCTGATCATCCTGGTAGCCCTGCGCTGGGCTCTTTCCAGCAGCTCCACATCCCTCTTGTACTGGGGAGCCCAGAACTGGACACAGTACGCCAGTTAGCGGTTGCATTTTCCCTCTCATGTCACTAAGTGCCCAACCATGGAAGGTTCTCCTAGACAGTGTGCTGGCCACAATCCATGTGGTGTACACAGAGATCCCCAGTGCTGTCATAGCAATGTGCTCCTTCTGCCACTTCACTGACGGAAAGTAGTTGGAGAGCCCATGCCCTTTTAGGGCTGAACCATAGCTTCCCCTCCCCAGCCTTGAGGGAGACCTGTTTTGAGAAATGGTGAGAAGTTCCAAAAGTGCCTGATGTGACTGATCTCCACCAGCACACCTCTGTGCTTAGTTGGGGATATCTGTGGTCTCTGGGTCTCTTTCTCTGGCATGAGTCTTCTTTTTGCCTGGAACAGCTTTAGTGTTCAAAGATCGACTCTGCTGCCTTGTGATTCGGGTTTTAGAGGGAGAAGACCTCTAGCCCTTGCTTCAATGAGTAGTTAAGCATTTAAATGACAAGGCCACCCAAGAGACATTAAGCTAGTTTCCCACTGACTCCAGAAACAAGCCCGTGCTGCACACTCTCCAAGGGGGCAGAATGTGTGTTTGATGCTCTGCTGACAGCAACAACATTGATTTTGTCTGCTCTCTTCCGCAGAAGAGCACAAAACACTTTGGTCAGTACTGTGTGCTGGCTGCGTGTGCCTGGCACTCGAACGTTGTTCCAGGCAGTTGCCAGGCCCCACCGTGTCCCAGGAGCAGAGGTGTGGGTTCCCAGGGCTGCTCCTGCTCATGACCCGTTGCCTGCTCTGCCTGGCGTTCTCTCTGTGCCCTCACCAGCCCGGGTGTGAGGTCACTGCACTCCCATTCCGCCGCCACTCCGGTCACCGCTGCCAGTGTGCTGCCCACCGCGACGAGGTCGCAGCTCGATGGTAGCACTGGCGTGGAGGGCGGAGATGTTGAGGCTCCTCTCCTTGCTGGGTGAGTGCTCCCTGCGTTGCCACTGCCCCTGTGACAAGGCACCAGTCCAGATCCTCGAGGCTGGGCACTGACATGTCTCACCTGGAGCGAAGGGAGCCTTGAAGTCCCTTGCTCTTGGCCACAAGCTCTTGGTATTGCCCATCCAACCCTTGCCCACAGCCCAGCCCATCCAACTCCCTTGCAAAGCCAGCCCTGGGAACAAGTCACCCCTGCTCTCCTCCAGAGAACTGGGGGCTGCCAGATGGGATGTGGGGCTGGGGATGGCACAGTAAATCCCGCAGAGCTTGCTAAGCATGAAACCAGAGGCTGCAAGAAAGCAAAAGTTGCTCCTTCAATGCCGTTTATCACTTCTCCTGAGTGACTAAGCATGCCATACTTTTTTCTTCTCAGGTTTGCTGATCTGGCTGCAGCCCTGTGTGGCTCCGCCAGTCTTGCTTCCTGGCAGCCCTTTGTCTGATAGTGAATATGAGGTTTTCTTCTCCAAACTGAGGCCCTCATGGAAGGCACRTGCTGCCTGCCAGCTCCGTCACGACCATGGCTGTGTCAACCCTGAAATCCTGCAGCTGGACAAGGAGGAGAACCACGGCACTATCCCTGAAGGTAGAGCAGCACGAATGTGTACATGCTGTCAGTGCTACACTGAGGTCACTTCATCTTCTAAGGGCAAGATAGCAATTGCCTGGGCTGGAATGGCACAATTTTCTCTGTCTGTCAAATAATTGCAGAAATGATGGTGGCACAGGCCCTTTGGGTGTCTGTAGTTCAGCCTCTAATGTGGATCTAATGCCTACTAGCATTAGATCAGGTCAGGCTAACTTTACCTTGGTGGGTTTTTTTCATCTCCAAGGATGGAGATAACAGTGCCTTTCTGGGCACCCATTTCTCCATAATCTTCCTCATGAAAAAAAAAATGTGTTGTCGTGTTCAAACTGAACATCCCAAATGGGAATTTGAGGCTTTTTCCTTTTATTTTTCCTATCACTACCAAGCGGAGCTAGAAATTGTTGAGGGTTTGTTTTGKTTTGGTTTGGTTTTAGTTTTTCATTGATTAAGGTGTTTTTGTTTTTAGTTGCAGGCTGCAATTAAATCAGCTCTCAGACTTGTCTATCCCTGACTAACCAAGCTCAGCTCCCTCAGCCTCTCCTCACAGGCTTCACAGGCTGAAAGCCCTGGCCACCTTAGCGTACCTGCACTTGCCTCTTCCCGTTGTCCATATCTGCATTGAACCATGTGCGGTAGGGAGCAAAGGGAGAACTGGCCAAGGTTTTGAGAAGCTCTCTGGCCTGCTCTTCCCAACCGTTCATGTTATGACTGAGTTTTTCCAGTTTCAGAAAAGAAATTTGGTTTACAGGCTCTCCTAGGCCTTTAAGAACCCCTGAGCTGGTAAGTTGCTTTTCTCAGTGTGTAACATTTCAGTGGCCACAAAACATTTCAGTTCAGGAAGCACCATGGCAACAGCCCCCTTTATATCTCTGCAGTCTCACTTTCCCTGCACCCATGCATCCGAGAATTTAAGAGGGATAATTATATCTGCACAGCTGAAAAACTTGGGACTACTTCTGTTGTATTTTTCGACAGAAAATAAAATAGGAACAATTTTCTCATAAAAATATGTCTTTATATTTAGCTGTGAACGTCAACGAACTGCATGATCTGCCAACTGTCTAGGCTTTTTTGGACTGGAGCTTGAGGGCCACCATTTCTTGCTTGCTTCTGCAGCTGTGGCAGGAGAATGGTTCCTCTCCTGCATCAGCAGGTCCTGGTCCCCTTTCTGCTTTGCAGTCACCAGCAATCCACAACCCTGTGGTGCAAGGGGGCTGCGCTTGGGGGCTGTTCCCAGTTCCTGGCAATGTCCATCTCCCTGATGCTGCGCATGCTGGTGCATTCAGGCACTCTCCCACTGCTGCCTTCAGAGGCTTCAGCTACCAGGAGCAGGAGCATCTGAGGAGTGCCAAATATTTCCTTATGAGAGATGAACAGAAAGGAGGAGGCAAGGATCAGTGTTATAGGAGGCAGGCTGCTGGTCCAGCCACGCCATCAGTAGTCAATAGGCTGTGGGGAGAGCTGATCCACGGTGTAAATCAAGAGCAGAGAGGTTGAGTAGCAAAGAAAGTCCACGGGAAACCTTATCTGTGTCAAGTTTTTCTTCATTTCCAAGGTGCTGGAATGACAATGCTCACCCCTTTCCCCCTCACACCCTCAAAAAAGAAGGCTAGTTCCTGTATCATCTGAAGGCCATTCTGTGACAGGACAGAACATCTGTCAGTACTCAAAGCCTGGCCTGGCTGAAGAGCCAGGTTAATACTGGAACATAGGCAATGGTTGGGCTTCCTCCCCTGCTTGGTGGCCCATTGCAAGCAGAGCCCTGGAGAGATTTCACAGGTTGTCACTAACAACAGAGAGAGGGAGAGTTTCAGATCCCTTCATTACAAGTTGGCCTTTTTCTGAGATGGAAATGTAGTAGATGGTGAAACTCCAGTCTTGCTAGTGAAGCCTTAGGCTTAAGACAAGAGACAAGTTATCCTTTAAAAAGATTTATAGCCTCCTATTTAGTGTGTGGGTAGAAGACCGCTTTCCAAACCATCAGCCCAGAAAGCAGTGAATGCTGGACATTTTCTGCATGCCATGAGTTACACCTTGCGTGCTCTCAAGACAGTAGTTTTGTTCATTGTTTAGTCTTTATCTGTCTCTTTGGTATGAGATATCTGTCTTCTCTGAACTTTGATGATTTTAATGTTTGTAGCCCTTGGCCTGTCCATTGATTTACCAAAATTGACTGGCAAAATCAACTCCAAGTGAATAAGAAAGCAGCATAGGATGCTCTGGTCTCTGCATAATGAATGCTTAAAAAAAWTTTTTTTGAGTACAATGTAGTACATCAATTTTTACATGGCTGACAAAACATGSGGGCAGGAGCAAGAGTGCCTGATCATCTGGTGTTCCCAGCCCTGGTATGATCTCATCTTGTGTTCCCAGACCTGGTATGATCGTTTTTCTAACCCATCACATCACCACTTGACTGCTTTGTTTTGTTTTTTGTTGTTGCTGTTGTTGGTTTTGGTTTTTTTTTTCTGGTCTAGGACTAAAAACAGAGTCCTTATCAGGTTATGGAAACAAAATTTTTAGCCCTCTAATAAAATGGAAGATACCAAGTGGCAAAAAGGGCAGAAGGGTGACATGAGACACTGTGTGGTTTTAGTGGAACGTACCCACGGCCTGTGGTATCTAAGCTTTGTTCTAATAGCAGAAAGCTCAGATCTCCACATGGGGGCAGCCAGCTTTGACTTTCTGTACAAATCAACCACACAGCTGAAACTAGACATCCAGGAGGTCCTTGTGTCTCACGACTCCCAAGGAAGTATATGCTTCAAGTGGCCACCTCYCCCAACCTCACTGTTCTCTTCCCTGTCTCTAGGGCCCATCTGCTCTGAATTCCCCGAGGGACTGTGGTTTATGAACTTCTGCCAGTTCGCCCAGTACCGCTGCTACAACCACAGATTCTATATGAAGGTGAGGATRGGACGCAGGCTGGAGAAGGAGGGCGGCTCTCTCGGGGGAAGGAAGGCATCAGGTTTCAGAGGGTTCCTATAATCCCCAGATGGGGTAAAACAGCAGAGAATATAATTCAGTGGGACTGAGTTTCTCCCTCTCTCTCTCCTCTGTTCAGCGAATCCTGTGTCCACCTTTGTCTCCTCCACAAGAGGATCTTATCCAGGCAGAGCGATCTTATGCTTTGGAGTCCTGGGCAAATGATGGAAGCTCCCTTACAAAATCAGGTATGACTACACTGAGCTCCCCTGGATGTCTCTGCTTCTGTGCCTTTCTCCATCAAGCACTTTTCTTCCTTGCAGAAAAGCTTGGTGTAGTTTTGGGTCCGTGGCTTGTGTGCAAGTGCAGCTGACATGCGGGCAGGAGCAGGCCAGCCCGTTGTCCAGGGACTCCCACCTTTCTGCTCTGCAGAATGGTTCCATAACTGAGGCAGAAGCAAGGCCCTGCAGGACTGGCAAAAACCCTTCTAGTCACACATTTACTGACACATGTAGCAGTAGGAAACATGTGAGCACATATAGGAGCAGCTGCTAAAGCAGAGTAGTTGCAGATGTATTAGCAGGGAAGGGAACTTTCTGTCTGGTTTCAGCAATGTGCCCTCCACAAAGCTGGAGAGCCGTGAAAGAAGTCAGTTCTGGTCTCTCAGGCCTCCTGTCTTGTTCTCTTCCCTGCTCCAGGACCGACTCCCATTCTGGACATAGACAGCTTTTTGCAGGCCAATGTGGATGCTCTCCTGAGATATTCCTATGCGCTGTCAAGTCTGAAACCGATGCCTAAGCAGCACCCCTCTGCCGTGGCATGGGTGCAGGAAGCCCCCTCGGTCAGGGGCCAACCTGGGCCTCCAGGAAGCCAGCCTGTCCCAGATGCCCCTACTGAATTGTCTCCCAGGCTGAAAGCCCGGGACCAAACTAATGGGGCCTGGAGCCAGCGCCTGCAGCACAACATCCAGCGGCTGATAGATCTGACTCTCTCCTTGGAGACGACCCCRAGTACAGAAATCTCTGCACCAGCCTTGGGTGTCAAGAAGGACCAGTGGAGCACACCCAGCCGTGCTGAGAAGAGTGTGCAGGCCACGGCCGCCAGTGGCAGGTAAGGGAAAGGCCCGGCTCCCCGCCAGCCTGGGTGGACCCAGGCCAGCGAGCGAGCGCAGGCAAGCTCTCTGGGGCAAGCCATCCCAAACCAGAGCTCGTGTGAGCATGGGAAAACCCTCAGACATCCCTGGCCAAGCACCCAGTGAGCAGGTAGGGGGTGTTGCTGCGTTGCTAAGGCATGAGGTTGTTTCTGTCGTCATAAAGCAGGTAAAACATCCAGGCAGGGCTTTATTCCTTGTACATGTGTCACAGCACRTCCTTACACTGTGCAGGGGCAGCCTGGTGCTGTCCCTTCTGTGCTCATCCCTCCTCCAGCTCACCTCTGCCAGGAGCCTGGGTAACTTGCAGAAATGCCTTCCTTGCAATCACGGGCCTTGCAGATACCCGAGTAAACATGTGTCTCTGCTCCTCTCCTGTCTGCATGCAACATGAAGCTAGTGCTTCTTGGATCAATCTCATTTGAGAAGAGATCTAGGATGCTTTAGGGGCTGTTTGAGCATCTTGGACTCATCTCAGCTCATCTGTTCAGGATGTGTCTGCCTCGGCACTCAGGCAGCTGGGGCTGGTGGCCCCAAAAAGATATGACCAGCAAAGGGAACGTCTATTTGGGCTCAAACTTGTTTTTTGATCTTTTCAAATTTTGGGGCGAGGACCACTTGCATTGGCTGAGATGCAAAGGTTGTTTTGCTTGCCAGGAGTGAAAAAAAAATGCTGTCTGGATGGGGATTTCAAGGCGTAGTCAAGTTCAAGTTTTGCTGTTTCTGGCTAGTGAAGTTCCTGTAAGCATGCAGATTTTGTACCTTTGTACCCCTTTTGTACACATGGGGTTTCTATGAAAAACCTTGCATACTACTACAGCTGAAGCAGAGATCACACTCCTGCAGATAAAAATAGATTGAATCGTGTTGTTAGAACTATAACTGTTCTATTGCAAGGCTGTAACTTATATCCTCCTCCTTCCTCACACTGTAGGAGGCTTTTATTGCCTATCAGATGTTTCCTGGTATATTTACATTAATGCAGAATTATGTGTCATTGAGAATATGTTAATTTTCCCTGTCTCTGAAACTAAGCCTTGCTCTGATTTAGTTATGTAGGGATTATTGAGGGACTGCTGTGATAACATATGACACTTGCTATTCCATCAGAAAGTTTCTCAAAGGCACTAATGCTGACTGTGGCTGTAACCTGACAGCAGAATCCCTTCACTCCTAATAAGCAAAGCTTAAACTCAAGTGAGGGGGAGGAAAAGCAGTATAGACTGCACCTCTCAGCTTCACTATTCAGAAGATCCCATCTCCTCTCAAAGGGGCTTTAAAGTAGAATGTAAGAAAAGGGCAAAAGGCTTTGGGACATTCCCGTCCAAGCAGTCTTGCAGCAACACGTGGGTTGGGCAGTGTCCATATGTGATAGCCAACATCTGGTTTAGCTCCAGCTGTGCACAGTGGTGCCAGGTGCACAGGATGCAGGGCTGCATATTTTGCCTGGAGTTCTCTGCCCAGCAGGACGCTCAGCCCTTCTTGTTCATCCCTTCTTGCACAAAGTGCTCTGTGGTCTCTGGTGAAGCCAGTTGTGTCCTTCAGAGACACTGGGATGACAAGAAAATAATAAGATAAACTATTTGTGCTACCCTTTCATGGTATTTATACTAGCAGTGAATTGCTACAGCAAAATGTCTCTTATTGCATTTTTTTAATTTATTTTTTTAGTCCTTATTGTGCGTTCTGCCATGGGTTTAAAGGGCTATTTAGTACCTAATATGTCCTCTTCTCCATATTAACTGCATACCAAAACTCAAGCTCACAATAAGCTAAACAGAGCTCAGTAACTGCCACGCTGATGCCCGCTCAGCAATCACTTCCRTGGCAATTTTCCGCAGCCCATCAAAACATCCACGTGCTCCACGCCTGTACAGTCCAGCCCATGTTCACTCTCAGCTGCTCTGTTGGCAGCGGGAAATCAGCCGCCTTTCCCTGCTGCTCGGTTTGCACATGCAGGAGTTACCTTCGCCCTTGTTCCCAGGGCTTCCCAACATTGAGTTGTTGGTTCTCTGCGACCCCGCAACCGCTTTGGGCATCCCCGGGCCTGGATGCAGAGCCCGTGCCGTCCGCGGGGCGGCAACAAGCCGTTGGGACAGGCCCAGCTACCCGTGCAAGCCCGGGGCCTGCTACCCCATCCTCCTCCTCCTCATTTACCTCCCCAGCCTTCGTGGTGCTGATGTACTCGAGCCCCAGCAGCATTAATCCTAATACCAGACCACTCATTACAAAATATTGCCCCTCCAAAATGCGCCCTTTGAACTATTGTCTCCTTTTAGCACTTGTTTTTCTTGTGTGTGTGGTTTTGTAGTTCAATCAGATCAGAGTCCCTTGGGTGTTTTCATCTTGCTGTTGTGTTTGGCTAATTTTGAAGGGGGAATTGTGAGCAAGCAAGTTTCCTTATCAACACAAGGACAGAAAGTCAAACTACTTCCAGGGTTTGGGCAATCTCAGACCAGGGAGCTCCTGGTCTCTCTATGAGACAGCGATAAAAAGATTACAATACCACGTGGGTTAGCAGGAGAAAAATGGAGTCTGTTAAACTAGTGGATTAAAAAGGGGCAGAGGTGCTAATTTTCGTTTCTGCAGTGATGTTTTACCTCCCGGCRTGAGGAGATAAGGGAGCAGACAGCAAGTTGGTTGCTCTGCCAGGGCTGAGAAGCCGTAAGTCCTGGAAATTAGAAGGGGCTATTTAATTAAGACCTAGACACAGGTCTTCATGGCATCCAGTGCCTGTGACAGGATTGTTGGGCAAGGTAAGGTCAAAATTTGACAGGTCTGCTGAGCTGAAGCACTAGAGAAAAGAAAGCAAAGTCAGATAAATTGTCCCATCTCCTGCTGTCCCCAGAAGCTCCTGCTCTTGGCAGCTGAGCCTCTGAAAGCAGCAGCAGTGGGAGACTGCCTGAATGCACCAAAGAGCAGTGACAGGGAACTGGACATTGCCAGTGACTGCAGAGGGGGAGAAGAAACTAGGACCTGTCCCTGGATCGGCTTGATGCTGGAGAGGAACCATTTCCCTGCAATTTCTCAGTTGCTTTCAGGAAATACTTGTCATTGGGGATGGTGCAAATGTACGTCTTCTGCTCATGGGTGATAGAACTGAAATATAAACTGGCAAGAGGGAAGCCAGAAAACCCTGCAGCAGTGATAGAGAGCTGAGATAGAGGGCAGAAAAGGATGTGAGAGTGAGAGAATTTCTTGTAACCTGAGGTTGATGAAAAGATTCAGTTTCCTGGACGGGCAAGGGGATGTTGTGAGTACAGTTCCTATATACACACTCAACAGTAAAGTGTCAGGAGGTTGTGTTTATGAATGTAAGTCTTTCATATCACTAGATCTAAACTGTGTTGTGCTGCAAAGGCTTCTGCCCATGCCTGACTTTGAATCTGTTCTTAACAAGTMGGTCATCGACATCTGGTGGATGTTTTATCACTGAACTACTTATGAAAGCACTCTTTTGAGAAAAGGACAGAGCTGAATTCCCTTTTACTGCCTTTTCCCCCCCTTTTTTTTTCTTTTTTTTYCCCGGAATACTGTTTTCATCTTGTTCAGGCTGCATTTGATGGACCAATACATGTACTAGACAATGCAACCCCTTTTGCAGCAGTTAACGCCTTCTAAGCCTCAGGTTGTTATTTATTTGCCTTTTTTTTTTTTTGATACAAAACACAGGAGAACTTTCCTCTTTTTCTGTTTTGTTCATGAAAACACAGAAGACATATCATTAATACCATTTTTGTTGTTCAGAATATACTTCTCACTTTACTGGCTTGATCACCCTGGTTTGATGACAAGGGGATTAAATCAAAATAAACCACTAGAATAACAACCAAGTAAAAAAATAATAGCCAACGATAATATATTGGAGAGGAAAATATTTCAGGTGTTAGTAGAATAATGACAAAGTCATTAATTGAAATTTATGAGTCGCAGCAAAATGACCCAGCCTATTTACCACCTCTTGAARGTGAAGATCTAAATGTGACAAAGCAGTTGAGCTTTTGAGTGCTGGAAGGGGCTCACTTCACTTTTCCTGGGTTTATCAACAAAATGGGCTGAACACTGGTTCTCTTGGGCTGCTCTGCCTAAGATAGAAATGATCAGTGTTCCAGCTGCATCCAGGAACACTATTCTCATGACTTTGCCACTGCTCATTGCTGAGAAAGCCTCCTTTTGAGACCCAATGTGTATCAAGGATATAAAGTTAGCTTATTTCCTCCCAATCACTGAAGTTTCTCCAGTAGCAGAACACTTCTGTTAAGTGCCAATCTGAAATCTGAAAGTATCCAAGAGGTCGCAGGCAGCCTTAGGAAAACTGCATACAGGTTAGTCCATGCATGTRTTTGAAAAGTATTTAAAACTAAGATTTTGCAGTTCTACTCTTCTTCCTACTTTCTGACAGATCAAAAACTGTTTATCATTAGTTTTGTTTCCAGGCACACACACACGCAAAGGATTTAGTGAGCATTTTTTCTCCTTCTGCATCACTGATAGTTCTGCATAATACCAGTTTTGTACCATGTTTATGATTTCTGATGCTTTGGAGAGATTTAAAATGTTTTTATTTAACTACCCTTTTGTCTTTAGATTTTCTACTTATATCTTTCTACTTATATCTATCTACTTATATCTTTCTACTTATAACTTCCCATATAACTTTGCATCAACAGTTAATTTGCCATCATTGTTAGCAGTTTTCTTCCCTTTCCAAAAATATACTGGCTCAAGCAGGAAAAGAGACTTCATAATTTATATACTCCAGACCCAAACTGGAGTGCTCCGTGTTTGACACTCAGCAGGTGTCTAGCAGCTCATTGCTGTGCAGTCAGATGGACAAAAGAGCACAGGAGCTGCTGCAGGAGCCCTGGGAAACTTCCAGGAATTGCATTTCTCCTCCAGTCTCTCTCACGTGTTCCTGAATGCATCTTCCCCCGTAGCATCCATGTAGTGCAGGCTTGTACAGACTCTGTARATATCCTCGCTCCTGAGTGCAGTTTGATCAAGCGTCCAAGGTTTCTTCAGRAATGTTTCTTGCTCTGTTTGGGGTTGTTTGCCTTTCTGCATTTCTAACTAGTAAGCATTCTAACTAGCATTCTCTGAGAATGTCTGAGAGAAGGTCTGATATGAGACCCGGAGAAATGACTTTTCCCAACCCTTTCTCTTGTCAGCCTTTTAGCTCTGCGGAAGAATGAGGCCATGACAATCCTCTGCCATACTGTACTGTATGGAAACTGTATCTCATCAGGGGTCACCCAGGCCTGGAAACAAATGGAAGAAAGAGACCTTGGCTTTGGAGAGTCGGTAAAGCAGTTTATGTCTATCTTTGACCCCACTGTGTGCAGGGTTCCCAGTAGGGTGGAACACAGTGCTCCAGTGGCTAGAGCTCATGGGCGCTGCCTCTTCAGGAACTACCTTCTGGGGGAGCTCAGGGACCTTGGCTGACCAGGGAAGAAAGATACAAGACACAAGGGAGCAAGGGATATGGACCCAGGGATATGGAGCCTGCTCAGCCCCCTATTCTCCCGCTCACTATCCCTCTGCACCTTGTTTAGGTGTGCGACAGTCTTGGACGGCATCACGTGGACCTGTGTCCTGACTGCGCTTTCTGCTCGCTGAAGAGGGAGCAGTGCCGGAACACGACCAACCTGAGACGTGTTCATTGCAAGAAAGGGAATTTCATCCCCTACATCAACCCCTACACCTCAGCTGAGCTTCAGGCTATAGTCAATCAGGTTCAGAGCTTGCTCTGTCTCTGGCTGGTCTGTGAGGAGGGAGTATGGAGGGAGTAGTGGGGAGGAAGAACAGCTGTCTCAGTCCCACTCCATTACAGGTCAAATCCCCCACCTTGGAGTACAATGGCCTGAAGGTTTACAGAAGGTCGAGTGAGGAGTACTGGTGTGGCCACTTGGGCATGCGTGGCTGTGAAGACCGACGCGTGGCCCTCTGGCTGAAAGCAGAATACGCTTCCTTTGAAGTTGGGGATGCTCCAAACCAGGTGGGTACCATGCACTAAAGCACTATCCCATTTTGCCTTCTCCTTCCTCTTCTGTTTTCATTCCTGTCTCCCCAGGTCTGTGATTCAAGTGGAGTTCAATACCCCAGCTACTGCGCATTCAAGAGCCACCAGTGCCTGCAACATAGCCTGCAAAACCAAAAGGTGAGAAGCAGTTTGCACCAACCTTTAGTCAGCCCTTATCTTCTCCTCCATGGCYAAGTCACTCCATGCCCCTTCCCACTGCAGCCCTGAGTTCCTCCAGGACTCAACAGCTGAGTGCTTTTGCCTCCAACAAGACACAAAGTGAGTGTTTSTGGGAGTAACAAATATTGACCCAAGCTTGGATGGCTTGGTGGCATGGCATTGAAGTACTGTTTGCACAGATGCTTTAACAGATAGTARTAGAGACAGTCACTAATGTCAAGACAGGAGCCATGGGGTGTGTCCCATCCATCACTGTATTACTCTATCCCCTGTCATGGTGGAAGGTCTCCCTGCCTTGCTGTATGCTTCCTAGGTGGCAATGGAAACAAGAGATACCAGAGCAGGATGGAGGACTAGCCTGCATCTTAGGAAACACACAGTTCAGCTATTGTCCTCTCCATAGTACTTCTCTAGAGACCCTCTCCTCTAATGGCCACTTCCATCCCATTGCCTCTGTGACCTGAGGGAGAGCTGCCCCAACTCCAGGCTGCTGGATGATGCCCTTTGTTCCAGAGTCCCCTTTGTCTAGGGGRATAATGGGCATTGGTGCTCTGCCTGATGCTCAGGTTTTCTTTTCAGGTGTCTCGTGTTGCCTGCTCCCAGAACAAGCCTTACCGAGTGCTGACTGAGGAGGAAGGAAAGGAAGAGGTACTGCTGTGGCACCGCTGGTTCCTCAATATCATGAAGGATTAAGTGCTGTACTTGGAGACAAGCAGAAGGTACACGGATCCAGGACAGGCCCTTGAGAGTTGTGACGACATGGAAAACCTGGACAGCTCTGCTGTCTGGTGAACTCCCCATTACCCGATCTCATCTGCACTCCTGCTCAGCTTCTTTGACAGCAGCACGGCCTTTCAACAGAAGTTTCATTCAACAGCATTTCCCTGTGGCACCTGCTAAAACCTCTCTTGAGAAAATTTTCTCCAGTCACAGGAACTGAAAAGCACTGACATCTGCCTCAGAGAAATGGACGTAGGGCCAAAGGCCCACATGTCCACGTCTGAATTGCCCAACCATCTTTGTCTTTACAATTTTGAAGGCCTGTGCCAATTGGGATCATCTCTAAAGCTGAGTCATGTTTTCTTCAGTTCATTTAACCCACAAAATTAAATTGTTCTGTTCTCTTTGCCACTGCCATTCTATTTCATCCCCTAATAACCATTCTCATATCTGTGGTACCCCCTGCCCCAGTTCACCCTGCTCAGTTCCCTGGTGCTTGTCACTTATTGGAGCCGCAGATGAATGAGCTCTCAGCCCAAGGATCTCAGCCCAGCACAACCTCATCCCTTTCAAGCCCACTAGAGAGAGCACAGCCAAGTGCCCTCCAGATACTAGTGCAGTGCACTAGGAAGGAGCTTCATGTACACACTTTCYTTTTTTCAGGTATTTTATTTATAATGATCAAGGGTTTATTGGACTTGCATCCTCTAACCTTCCATCCATAAAAAGAATTCAAACTACAAAAAGCCCAATAATTTGGAGAGAGCATGCCAGGCAAGGATCACGCAGTAGATTGTGGGACACCCCCCGGAGCCGCAGGCTACTTTTAGGAGTGCAGCAACACCCCCCATCTCCTCAGAAGTCCTTTCCCTGCTCCCCTTAGTGTGTGTCTCTGCGTGGGCTGCCCTCTCACCACCTGCTCCATGTGCTTGCCCCTTTTGCTGTGCTAGCCCGCGGTGCCCGCGTGCCACGGCAGCCTGCTCACCCTCAGCGACAGCTGTGCACGTCCACCACGTGCCGGCACTGCCTGCACGTCACCGAGCAGCACCAGCGGAACTTGCAGCCGCACCTCTCCACCACTTCGGTCTGGGCCGTGCGGAAGCCCCTCCCGCAGCACAGCAGCTCACAGCCATCCATGCCCGGGGATGTCCGGTTGCACTGGCGGCCAGAGGTGCCGAAGACCCCATGCCGAGGGTCCCAGTCACAGAAGTCCGGGCTGGCCAACAGGTAGACTAGGTCATGAACAGTGTAGGGCTTGAAGCGAGAGCTCTTGGGCACCAGCAGCTTGCGGGAACCAACCCACTTKGGGTGAACCTCTGTTGCCCCCTCAAACTTTTCCTTGAGGACATTGCCCACCTCGCGGAAGGGGGGCATGACCTTCCAGCAGGTGCGCACTTCRCAGGAGCCCGACACACCGTGACACTTGCACTCCACCTTCATGTGGGACAGGATAGCCTGAGGAGGATGGAAAGCCAACCAAACCTAGGACACCTTCCTCTGTGTCTGTCCCATGTCTGTGGGCCCCAGAGCCGCTATTCTTCCACACCCCTCCCATAGGACCTATGGGAGGGATCAGAAAGAGATCCCAACACTCAGCTGGAGGGCAGGACCAGCCAATGGGAAGGGAGGGCAGTTTCTTTAAGCTAAACCCAGTGATTATGAGACAGAAGGAGATCCAGTCTATGGAAAACAGTCTGGCTTTGATCTGTAAGAGAAAACTCTGAAGCAGTGGAAGAGAAGGCTCTTGCTTTGATATGTGGGGTAGGGGGGAACAGATCCTCTTTGCGACAGGAAGGATATGGTATCAGTTCAGCCAGAAGAACATATAGAGAATAATCTGTTTGCTCAGGAGGGGTTGATGAGATAGGAAAGCAAGACAGAGCAGAATAGGAAAGTGAATTCTTTTTGAGAAAAAGGCTAGAGAAGGTAACTCACTTCTGGGCTCTGTGAGGAAAAGAAATCTGCCCTGACGAAGGCAAGGAAGTTCCTGAAGCAGRGTTTGCTGACCAGCCCTTGTCCTTGCCCTTACCTTCCTCCCAGCTTCATTGTTGTGCAGGTTCATGAGAGCTCGGCTGGAGGAGATGCCACGGCTCCTTTCAGGATTATCTACAAAGGCCTGAGAAAATGCAGTCCCATAAGACAGGTTATCAGAGCAGCCTGACCACTGGAAACCTGTGGAGAGAAAGGAGGCTGGGCAACGAAGAAGGAAAGGTCAGGGGAGAAGCCCCAAAAGTGGAGCTGAAGGAGGAGTTGTGGGAAAAGTGAGCTCTGTTTTGCCCCAGCGCGGGTGTTTCCTGTGGAGCTCAGCCTSTGTCATCTCCTCCTTCACCTTCGGGACTGACTCCTCGGATCTTGCGGTCACACCCACACTTCTGCAGCTCCCCGCGACTGCAGGCCCGGGTCACGGCGAAGGCGACGCCCGCGGCGGCGATGGCGTGGATGAAAGCAGACTCCCGCGTGCCTGCAGCAGGGCRACAAGTGGCACCCATCTGTTGAGCTTGGTGTGCCCCGCTGAGAGCAGAGGGAAAGCACTGAGGGGAGCACAGGGCAGGGGTGTTGGAGGAGGAATGGAAATAGAGACGACCCAGGAAAAATCACTCTCAGGATGTTCAGCCAACGCTGCATCACCCAAGGTCTGTAGCCAGCCAGGGTACTCTGCCCACAGGCAGAGCGCAGGGAGGCTTTTAGCCAAATAGCCTTCACTCCGGCACTTGCAATTCCAGTATTCCCAAAGAAAGGTCACTGCACAGCCCCAAGAGCCCTGAAAGGGGAGCCTGTGTGTGAGCAAGGGCAGGACCTCCTGTGCAGGGAAGGTTTTGAGGGAGAGTCCTGCCACCTTAWCTCCAGCAGCCAGCAAGAACAAAGTCCTCTTCGTTCCCTGTTTGCCTCCTCACATATAAGCCTAGGGAAAAGAGGGTCTGTGGCAGGAGGTTTGATTTGACCTGCAGCTCCSAGGATAGGGAGATGGAGCAGCCTGCAAAGATGATACCCTTAATGGTCCACATGGGCCAAAAGCCAAGTCTGTAAGAATGATAATGAGGTTTAGCCAGAATATTTCTATTTTATTACAGCACGGGCATTTGGTCCCAAGTCTGTTYTGTATTGACAGCTAAGCTAACATAYGGCTGAAGATTCTGTACATGCATGGGCTCAATGTGACACCTACACATTATCCCAGGCAAGCCTGACGTGCCACGAAGACCCCAGCTATATGTTGAAAGGAACCATGCCATAAACCAGCTCTGCCTGTGCTGCCTCCCCCTTCCCTRCTGACCTTGGATGGTGACTTTGCCGAAGACCTGCAGTCCCTGCAGGGTGGAGCAATTCCACCGGCGAGCATGAAACTGATGCTGGCACTCTTCGATGGCCAGCTCTGCTCCGTGTTTCACTGCATCCATGGCTTCCACCTGCCGCTGGCAAATGYGTACCTGCTCCTCTACCAGCCCCGTCAGACCCTTGCAGCCACCGGGGTCTTGGAGGGCCCCATGCAGGGAACTCTGCTTGGCCAGGTACCTGTGGGGCAGGGAAGAGTCTCAGCTGAAGACAGGCTAGAGCCAGGGCTGTGTCTGCAAGTGACTAGTCTTCTGTAATCTTTCTTATTTTAGACTAGAAATGAGCCAAGGAGAAGTTTGTGTAGCCTCCTTTCAGTGCAGAATTGGAGCCCTCTCCTGGTTTGAACCTCTTCAATTTCTCTGTTCCATTCCCTTAGTGCTCCCAAAGGTGTTCCTTCTAATGTGTTGCCTTTGTGTCACCAATATTCCTTTTTCCACCCTTCTCTTACAAACCTGCCTATWTTCCTGGGAGATAGCACCTCCCTAGGTGAGTTTTCAATCCAGATGATTTAAGTCCAAAGCATACTTACAGCCAGCTCACGGCAAGGACATGCTGCACTGGAATCAGTACCACGTACAGCCAGACCAGCTCCATCCTCTCCCCGGTGAAACTTCACCTTCAGCCCCTGTGCATCAGTTGTCTGACCCCTGAGTCCTCACGAGAGACAGCAGCTCCAGCACAGCACTGCAAAGAACAGGTAGCCCCAGCCCTGGACAACAACCACGAGTTGTCTGGTGSGCCTGCCAGCATCAGACTCCTGGTGGCCCAAAGAAATCTGCAAGGTTGGCCTTGTGAGGTCATCCACACCAGTGCTGTCCCCTACAGCTTCTGGAGCAATATGGGAGTGCTCTGGACTAGGGCTCCAGGGTAAGCATCTGTCCACGGGAGTTCAAATGGCTGGGGACAGCATCAGTGTCTGCCGCCCGGTCTCTGCAGCACTGTAGGCAGGTGATCCAGTGATCTTTCTCAGCAGTCAGGTTCCTTCATCAGCAAAAAGCAGCCTGAGACCCAATCAGTAGCAGACAGACTCTTCTACACAAGAAAAACGTGGCAGCATCAAGAAACTGTTCTTAGATTCTCCAGCTCATCATTGCTTTCTGTCAACAAGGCCTTCGGGGAGCCAGTTTCCCCACAGTGATAGTTCATGGGAGCAGAAAGAAGACCGGTTGTCTCCCTCATCCGCAGCCACCTGATGATCCTCCCTCATCTACCTCCCCCAGACTGGAGATTCCTCTTTTCTACCCTGCAGCCYACATAGCTACAGCAAACAGACACAGCCTGGCTGCTGCTTGGCTCTTAACTCTTTCCCAGGCAGCTCCCTCTTCACACCCCTTTTCCCCATGGCCGGAGGGAATGACCCTTCCTTTAACCATGAGAAGGCATAATGGGTTCACTGCCCCCCTTTCTCGTGGGTAGACTTTTCCTAAGAACATCTGGGAGGTTAGGAAAATTTGACTTTGGTGATCGGGGATTTGAACTATTCTGAGATTAATGAGTATCAATCCCCTCATCAGGCCTGGGAAATTCCAGCTGAACTGAAGTCTATGGAAGGCCTAACTCCTTCTCGCAGCCTGGAGGTTTCTGCTTTTTCTGCCTGAATTACTCTGAAAGTGAAATCCTGCACCTCTAGCCTTGCTGCAGGTCTACTACATCATCTGCATGTTCCAGTGTGGGCTAACTTTTTGTTACACTTTTCTACATTTCCCTACCCAAGGAGATTTGAAGAGTGTTTGGGTTTCTCAGCCACCCTTTCAAGCCTGACGAACCCCTCTGTTGTAGCATGTTTTCCATTTCTCTGCTCATCTCTCTCCACCCCTGTGCCTCTCTAGTTCTGCCTGGTCCTTGCTCCTGCCTTTTGGAGCCAGTACTCCARGGCAGCAGACATGTTGGGATCTGCAGCACCAGGGTGTAGCCTCCAACACACACCCCTGATAATCTGGTCTTACCTGCTGCCGACTCAGACAGTGGTAAGGAAACACGGGGGCTTGTGCTGTTCTTCCCAATCAGACGAGCTTCCAAGAGGCAGCTCAGGGG